CTTTCTTCTCCCAAGGCCTACTGCTGGTGCTCCTGTTGTGCTCCGGTCTTGTGCCCATGCTGATGCTGCAGGCCTCTCCTGTGGATCTCCTAAGTTGTAGGCAGGAAAAATGTCTCCCTCTGACCTTTTATTGGCTCTCCACTCCAAAATTTAACTTGAGGCTTCATGTTAAAGTTGTTTGGAGGGGAATGCTGGAAAAGTTCAACTGGATCCCAACCTGCACTCCATCATCTTGAATTCCCATTGTGCATTTTTAATCAGATATTTAATTTAATGCCTAGAGATCAATGACATCCAGGGGCATAAAACATATCTAAGCCTCTTCTTGGTGGCTACCAATCCTTAATCCTCTTTTTATTTCCCTGCTGTACCTTCACGTAATGGCGCCTGTGTTGGAGAGGAGAGTCAGGAGGTGGGAGGAGGAATGCGGACTGTCTTCTCCCTTGGGCCAGCTCTGTTTGTCTCAGACCTAACTGAGCCACAAAGTTCCATTTCCTGTTTCCCACCTTTGTGCCTTTGCTCACTCTGTTACCCTCACCTGGAAAGCTTTTCCCTCTCCCGAATCATTCCACTAATCTAACTCCTTGCCTGGCTCAAATATTGCCTCTTCCAGGCTTTATAGACTCCAATACACAGGGTATCAGCCTTTGCATCCTCCACAATCAAATGTAGGAGTCAATGCGGTGTCATGGAAAGAGCATTGGACTGGAAATCAAGGGACCTGGACTAGAGTCTGGGTTCTGCCACTTAGCACCTTCGTGAGAAATCACACAGACAAATCACTTAGGCAAATCTAGGCAAATCACTTAATTCAGTTTAGAAATAAATCCAGCATTTTATTAAACATAATTGCATTTTGTCAAAGCCTCAATATCCTCATCGGGAAATGAGAGGGTTAGATTAGGTGACCTCCTATTGTCTCTTGTGGCCAATTATCACATACCACTTTGTCTCATTTTTGTACATGTCTCCTCTCTATAACTGTGAGTAAATTTCTTGAGTAATCTGCCAGAGTACCTAATGCCTTTAAACATAGTAGGGCCTCAGTAAATGCTGAATGAATAAAGTTGTCTGGTTGACACACATTATTTGTTCCTTAAGTCTTTCTGATTTTCCAACCCTCATTGAAATTCACTTGGGTTCAGGCTGTGCTAAACTAGATAGAATCCTGAACTTGGGCTAAGAAGACCTAGGTTTGAGTCGTAGCCATTCAACCTTTCTTAGCCTGAGTTTCCTCATCTGTAAAATGGAGATGATAATACCTGGTATGACTTCCTTTGCAGGGTTGCTGTGAGCTGCCAGTGAAATAATGTATTTTTGCAAAGCATTTCATAAAACATACAGGGCTGCATAAATGCCAGTTTTTCCATTTATCATGGCATAAGACCCAGAATGAAATAGTCACTGGAGATGGGTAAGCAGTAGACTATTTCCAGGTTTTCTTTTTAGTTTGAGAATAAATGACTCAATAAACATTTGTGGACCGATTAACTGACCAAGAGTGGCAGGCCTGGGAATTACAAAACACGGTCAGCTGTGAGAACATCGGAGATTGGGGAGCTTTTTTGGGTAGGGTTGAAGAGTATATTCCCAGCACTTAGTACAGTATCTAGAACATAATAAATGTATAACAATTGTTTGTTGACTGACATAAAGGATTCATTAAATTGACAATAGTTAATAAAAGTAATATGAACCAAAATGTCTTCAGGATACATTTTGGGAAAGTAGAGGAAAGGCACCCCCTTATCATAAGCATCAATATAAGTCAATTAAGTTCAATTCTATAAACATTTATTGGTGTTTGATACTGTAGATCACTAAAATACAAAGTGCCTGTTCTCAGGGAGCTTGCATTTTTCTTGGTCGGGGTGGGCATGGGATAGGCAATGAGAGGGACAGACAATATAGACACAAGTAAGTATAATACATTGAAGGTTGAGGTTGTGATGAGAACCAAGGATAGATTCAAAAAATGCTCTAAGAAAACTTGATACTTCCAGCTGTCCAGATTAGGCTACAAAGAGGAAGTGGCCCTTGGGTTGGGCCTTGGAACAGAATGTTGTTAGAGTAGACTAGTTGATAGAAGGTTGGACTTTGAGTCAAGAAGACCTGGGTTCAAATCTGGCCTCAGACACTTACTAGATGTATGATTCTGGGCAAGTCACTTGATCTCTCAGTTTTTATCTGTAAAATGGGGATAAAAGTAGCAGTTCCTCACGGCGTAATTGTGAGGACCTAACTGAGATTAAAGGATGCATGTCTTAATTCCCTGTATAAAAATGTGAGCTACTATTATTTTTAAGGGAAAAAAATTCTGACTAGCAAAAGTGAGGAGTACTGTGCTCCGAGTGTAGGGGATGGGCAGAGCAGATGCATGGGGATGTGAGAAGATAAGTTGAGTTTGAGGAATTATCCAGTTTGTCCGGAATATAGTGTGTGAAGACAATAAGTGTGAAGGATGGCCGGAAAGGGAGACTGGAGCCAGGTTATAGCTGGCCAATTACCCTCAAATGTCCTTCCTATAGTTGATGTGCTGAGTATGATGTGAAATGCACAAGCAAAAATGGAATCTCGGTAGAAAAATCAAATAAGTACCTTACAATCAGTCACGCAACTCCAGGTAGCTAGGGGCACAGTGGATAGAGTGCTGGACCTAAGGTCAGAAAGATTCATCTTCCTGAATTCAAATCTGGCCTCAGACACTTACTAACTGTGTGGCCTTGAGCAAATCACTAAATCCTGTTTGCCTCAGTTTCCTCATCTGTAAAATGACCTGGAGAAGGAAATGGCAAACTACTCCAGTATCTTTGCCAAAGAAACCCCAGATAGGGTCGTAGAGTTGGACAAGACCAAAAAAATGACTGAGCAACAATTCTAAGCACCATCTTTTGGAAGCTTGCCTATGGTCTTATTGTAAATTTGGCAGTCAGGGTGAGTCCTGGAGTCTTGGCCCAGGTTCACGCTGAATGGTTAGCAATGAAGAGGTGTTATTCCATGTTGTCCTTGTTAATGGGGGTGTTAGAATTACAGTTTGACCAGCTTACTTTCAGTTGGACAATGTTGCCTTTGGCACAGGGTCCCAAACAGGGAGCTGAATCGGCATTTGATTACTTCCTAGAATCCATCTACCTGTATGCAACTAAGGCTGGGTAGAGAAAATACCCCAGGGCCCAGGTCTCAGCAAGGGCTTCAAGGAGAAATCATTTTTGTTACTGCAGTAGCTGGACCCCTTTGGATAAGGTCAAGGGAGGACTTTCCTGACATCAAATCCTGTTCTATAATATTAAAGTATACTATGGCATTAGAACACTGAAGAATTATTGCTTTCAAGCACATTCCCAAAGTAGGACTGCATTTGGTCAACTTCCTGAAATAGTTTTCTCTCTGAGCAGTCATTTGTAAATAACATTGTGTTATTGTTTTGTGGCTAACCTCCCAACCAAACCAATCCGAGGGGATTTTTCATCCAAAATACTCTAGGTGTTTCCTCCATCCTTCTGAGTGTAACAGGATTCAGCCTATTATCTGAATATACTCCAGGGAAATCTTCCTGCCTGCAAGGATGATTCTATCACCATGATGTCAAATGGCCTTATTACAGATAGGATAAAGACCTAAAGTAGTCAGAGGACATGGGTTCAAATCCTGCCTAAGATAATCATGACCTTGAGTGAGTCATTTAACTTCCTGGGGTCTCAGTTTCCTTAAGTGTAAAATAAGGAGGTTGGACTGGATGGTTTCCGAGGTCCCTTCCAGCTCTAGATTTATTATCTTAAGTCTGGCATTCAAAGCTCTCCACAACCTGCCTTTCCTTTTCTTAATCCCCTACAGTGATCCTCTGTTCTAGCTAGGCTGGTTTATTAATTATTCCCCAAACATTGTGCAAGTTTATTTTACTTTACTTTACTCATGCAGGTCCTCCTCTCTGGAGTGCTTCCCCACCTTTTATCCAAATCCTACCCATCTTTGATTAGAGTCCGACTCGAAGTCTTCCTCAGTGGAAGCTTTCCCGATCAGCCATTAGTCACATCTCACTCCATTGAATTGCTAGAACTCCATCCTTAGTTCTATGTATTTATGCAATTCATTCTTACTTGGATGGAATGCTTCTCAAGAGTAGGACTGTGCTCATTTTCTTGGTATTCTCATAACACACAGGATACTATGTAGTAGGCACTCAGTCCATTTTTGTAATGACTTTATGACTAAAAGACCAGAAGCAACCACAGTCACATCTTCTGTCTCCAAATCACCCCTTGAGCTGCCCTTGGTACCTTTTTCCAGACCAATATTTCCCTTTGAAGACCCCGAGTTCCATTCTTACTTTCTCAGCAGATGGAAATTCTCCTTGTAGAGTGCCTCTTCACATGCTCCACCAATCTTGTGGGTGGAAGGACCCAGCTCTTTTTGTAGCATTGCCTAAATTCCCCCCTACTCGAATCCCCGATGCCTTTGGGACTTATTTCCTGGAAACTCCATCATCTTCCTTTTTTTTTTCTATCATGATTTCTTATTAAAAGTAAATTCTGGATTTGCAGTTGAATAAGACATCTCAGCAGTACTGGAAAAGTTCCTGGATCAAGATGGAAAGATTTTTATAGTTAATAAACAGAGACCCATTGGCTCTGAGGGGCTGTGGTACAAGTGGCATTTTGCTCTAATGAATGCAAAAATAATTTTCCACTTTTACATTTTAGCCAGTGTAAAAAACAACAACAATCCAACATGTGTTACTTTCTGAGCTTTGAATTAATCTAGAAGATGCTCCGGAATTGTCCTTTTTAATCTTTGCTGTCTTTCTTTTCTTTCCCTAGAATGGGTTTTTCCACTCCACTACATTTAGTCAAAATTCTTTATGGGAGATATCTCTGCCCAACTGAAAGCTGGTGTACTGATGTTTAATGTTTGGTGACCACTGTGACCCATAAGCAGTAGTAATTGCACTTCTTTTTTCAGTTCCACTTGAAGTTTTCCTTTGTCTCGTTCCTCTATTTTAGGACAATGGTGTGCGGCAAGATGAATGGGGAGCAGCAGAGTATGAAAGCTGTGGACGTGAAAATTGAAAGTGAGCTGATTCCCGGCAACAAATATGATGCCCTTTGTGTCAAGGATGAAGGTTAGTGCTGAAGCTGCTGAAAAGACAGACAGGCAGGATACAAGTCAGCTCATGGGGCTTAGCCAAAGCCAGGAACTCACCAGCAGTATCCCCCAACCCTTTAAAGATAGCGGTGCATTTTAAAGAAAAACTTTTCTGGGGGTAGGAACTTTACCAGACTTGTTGAACACAGCATCTCAAGAGGGAAGGTTTACCTTTTAGCAGAAAAATTAATTGCTGGCAGAGCTATAACTAGGCATTTTTGTATCTAGGGGCGATATTTTCACAGTATCAAAGGGAAAGGATACAGAAACATGGGGATGCGATCATGAGGTGGGGAGAAAAGACTAATACCTGCGGCTCATCCAGTAACTTCCAGTCCAATCCAATGCAACCAACATTTATTAAGTGCCTATAGTGTGCACAGCACTGTACAAGGTGCTGTGAGTCCAAACATGGAAATGAAACAACTCTTGTCCTCAAGAAGATTACATTTTCGTGGAGGGACAGTTGCATGATTTTTTTTTTCAGCTTCCAGGGATGGTGGGAGTAATCCAAGGCTGTGGTTTGGCCGGGAAAGATGGGCATTGGGATAAAAGAGTGAGAAATTCTAGAGAAGACAACATAGAGTTGACCTAGTTCACCAAGAGGTCAAGATGAGGAAGGGAGAAGAGTTCAGCCAGTACCTGGGTGATGGCCTGGGAAAGAACTGCAGCGTGGAAGGACTGGAGGTCGCAGCAAGGATGAAGAGCAGGGTTAGGCATTGTAAGGCAGAGGAAAAGATAATGAAATAAAGGAATTTCAGGATTCATGAACATGGATGTGGACCAGTTGTGGGTGATGGCAAGATCAAAGGTATGATTATGTCTGCGTATAGTCTAGGGATGAAGAAGAGGTCAAATGAAATGAGCAATTTGAGGAATTAGAAAGTTGAGTGTAGTCCCATAGAATGAAGGCCAGAGTTGGGTACAAGAGAAAGACGGTGAGCTGACCTCTAAAATCATTGAGGAAAGAAGACGGGGGGGGTGTCCTGGAGGACAGTAGAGAACAGTGTCAGAATCTCAATTGGGTAGTAGATATGGATTGAATGAACCTCCAAGGAAGAGTGAAAACTGGGTGCTGAGGGTAGAGGGAGATCATGGAGTAGTTTGGCTTCCCCACCCCAGGAGTTGGGGAGCAGTAAAGAAACCATACGCAGTGCTGGAATGGGTGGCCAAGGAAGCTGTGTTACTAGGAGGGAGCAAGGTCTCAGTGATTGCCAGAAGATGGAAGGAGGAAGAAAGGAAAAGGTTTTTGAAGAAATCAAGTTTCTTACCTAGGCAGATGGCTTTCTGGAGAGTATGAGGCCTAAGGAAAGGCCAGAGGATTCAGCAATGAGCTTCTTTCTACGGGGTCACTGTGGAGTGAGTCGTTTCAGATTGAGTGGTAGGGTCATAGAGGGGTTGAGAGAGGAGAGAAAATGGAGAAAATGAGTGTGGACAACTTTTTCTGGGAGTTTGGCCACGAAAGGGAGGAGAGCTACAGAATGATAGCCTCTTACTGTAATTAACTAACAATTAACTAATTGCTAACAAGGTACTAGCCAGGCCATGCTGGATGGTCCAGTATGGAGAGGAGGTCTGACTCTTTCCTCCACTTTCTCCCTCCCCCTCCTTCCTACACACACACACACACCCCACACCACCCCACCCCACACCACACCACACCACACCACACATGTACATACATGCACACACAGATTTCATGCTGATAATGGGTGAGGTCCAGCTAAGCTCAATACGTGATGATGGGCCAGGGGGTGGATACAGTGCTTGACTTGGAGTCAAGAAGACCCAAGTTCAAATCCTGCCTCAGACACTTAGTAACCATGTGATTGACAAGCCATTTAGTCTCCTTCTGGCTCAATTTCCATATCTAATAATAAGAACACCTACATCACAGTGTTCTTGTGAAGATCAAATGAGATAATACACATAAAACACTTTGTAAACCTTAAAGCATTATGTAAATGCTGGCAAGTATTATACCTGGTAGTGAGAGGAGAAGCAGGCTGGGCCTGGGCCAAGCAGATATCTTCCTTGGATTTAGCCTCGCTGTGTATAGGGAAGAAATGCCAGAAGGTGGAAGTGAGAGATTATGGTGATACTGAGGGGGTGCCCCTTCCCCTGACCCTTGGGAATCAGACATTGGGATGCCCTGCTCCCTGGGTCCTGTTTGCCACTGGTGGCTGAATAAGAGGTCTCAACTCCCCTCTAAAGCCCATTCCAGTAGGAGTGGCACCTCACCTCTGCAACATGTCCCCCCACAATTGATGAGGTTAGGCCCTCTCATCATTGACACTCTGGGCTCCCTTCATAGTCTCAGCTGAGGCGAGAGGCATTCAGGGTAGGGGAGTCATGGTGACCAACCCTCCTTACGCGGGCTAGATTTGCAGTGTCCAATGAGGAGTGTTCACCTGAGGAGCCTAGAATCCTGGAGACCTGCCCCAATCCTTTCAGAGACCTGTAGCTACTTCCTTCTCACTAGACATGTTAATTTAGAGCCATCTAAATTAGGTTCTGCCTGGGGCCCACTGGTGATGGCCCTGGTTGTCTGACACCCAAAATCAGCCGTCAGAGGAGATCATGAGAGAGGCAATGGGGTATAGTGTAGAGAGAGTCGGGGAAACCTGGCTTTTGACACATACTGGCTGGGTGGTTGTGAGCAATTCACTTTACCCCTCTCCTTCCCTGGTAGAGCTTGGTGACTGTAGTTAGCTGAGCAAGCCTGGATCTATATCAGTAGAGAGAGTGCCACCAGGCACTCCCTAAAAAGACTCAATGAAATCACTGGGAGAGAACAAAAGAGGTGGAGGGAGAAAGAAAGGAAGTGAAGGGAAGGGGAAGGGAGGGGAGGAAAGGGAAGAGAAGAGAAGGGGAAGGGGAAGGAAAGGAAAGGAAGAGGAGAGAAGGGGAGAAGAGGGGAGCAGGGAGGAGAGGGAGTGGGAGAAAGGAAGAAAGGAAAGAAGGGAGGAAGGAGGGATCACAAAGTAGGCCTAATTTACAGACCTGAGGTCAGATTTCATTGTCAACACAGATTACCTCTAATTTCACTGAAATGAAAATACTTATCCAGTGGAAAGGAAACCAATTATGGGCTCCCCAGTAGAGAAGCCCAACAGAGGTTCAGTTCTCCTTTCACCTTGCAATGGAAGCCCCTGACCAAGTTCATTGGCCCCCTCTTGGGCAAGGATTCCAGGACCATAAGTGTCATCAGGAAGATCATGGGGGAAGGATGTGGGATAGCTGCAAGGAAGGGAGGAAATGTGGCACAATGGAAAGAATGGTAGCTCTGGAATCAGAGAACCTGGGTTCATATCCTACCTCTTCCCTTTGCTCCCTATTGACCTTAGACAAGTCACTTCTTTCTAGGCCTCAGTTTCTTCAGCTTTAAAATGGGTTGAATGACATGATGTCTATCTATTATCATCTGTAAGATGACTGATCTGTCATTTAATGTGAAAGCAGCTGAGTACTACATTCTTGCCTTGCCCTGGTAAAAAGTACAAAATAAACATTGCCATAACATAATAGGGACCACTGCGCCTGGTCTGGAGAGGTATTGACGGGTGCTTCTTGGACCTGGGGTCAGGAGGATTGCACATTTTAATCATCTGTGCAGGTGGCACCATGTTTAGAAGAATAGCTATGCTCTTTTGAGGATAAGATAGGCAATTGAAAAAAACTAAACTAAAAAACCTTCGTCAAGTTGGTAAAGTGATATAGTGGATAAAAATCACAACAATAGGGAGCATTTATATAGACCTTTCAGGTTTGCAAAGCACTTTGCAAATATAATCCCATTTGATTCTTACAATAACCCTGGGGAGGTAGGTGCAATTATTACACCCATTTTGCAGATGGGAAACAGAGGCACAGAGTGTTTTTTAAATGACTTGCCCAGGGTTACCCAGCTCATCACTGTCTGAAGCAGAATTCAAACTCAGGTCTTCCTGTCTCCAAGTTCAGCAGTCTATCCACCATGCTACCAGCACTAAATTGACGTTGGGAAGATCTGCCTTCAAATCCAGTCTCTGGGACTTCCTAGCTGTCTGACCAAGGGCAAGTCACCCTCTTAGATCTTCAGTTTCCTTATCTGTAAAATGGGAAGAAATAATTGAGGCTTTTTTTGTATGTAAAGCTAATCATTACGGCCTTTTTGCATAATGGACAGAATCTAATAAGCAACATTTAAAATCTGAGCCCTCCTTCCCCAGCAAACATGTTTATGTGAAAATTCAGAAGAAATAGACAGTTGCTTTCAACAATAAAAAATTAAGTTAAACTTTATATGTCAATCAAGAACATTGAAGTTAGTCGGTATGTGTTCTAAAGCCAGATAACAAAGAATACAATGATTAGCATGCTTGGCAACCTTTAAAATGCTACATAAATGTCAGTTGTAACATTATTTGGAGGCAGAAGACCTGGGCTCAAATCCTGGTTGTACTGTTATTTACTACATTGTGATCATTAGGTCACCACACCTCTCTGGGCCTCAGTTTCCCTATCTGTAAAATGGATGGCTTGGACTAGATGACCTCTGAGGTACACTTCAGTTCTGGATCTATAATCTGTGATCCCATGAGCTATAAAATGAGGCAATTGCATTATTGTCACACCCATTTTACAGATAAAGAAACCGAAACTCTGAAGTGACTCACCCTTGGTCATCAGCTAAGTCATGGGCGAGAGTGAAGAATGAAACCCAACATTTGATTCTGACCCCAGAATGAGCCATGTTCTTTCCGTGACACAACCAAGAGGAAGAGAAATAAGGATGGCTCTATCCATCGAGCCTGTAGCCTAGCAACGGCCCGTGTCCTATTCAGCCATCAATCAGCCCAGTTCAGAGGCTCTCAGTGAGTATCTCAAGGTCACTCGAGCAGCTCCTCATCCACGCTCAGGCTCCCAACTCGGCTCCTCACTCACGCCAATATCCCGTCTCAGATAATAGACAAGCTTGTCGTTTGGCCAAAGTGC